ACAATCCAGGGAAAGAGGAAAAAAAGTGCCCTCAGTCAGTGAGTGGGTAGATGAGACCTGGGATCGAGGGACTTGCTCTGGGGAATGAGCTAAGGTCAGGAGACACCAAAGAAGGGGGCTGTTTGTAGAGATGACAGAACTGGACAGGAAGCAGACAAAGCACCAGTGAGCATGACAGAATGAAAAGTGGGGGACGTAGCTACTTGTCCCAGATACAAAAAGCACTTTGCACAGGGAAGGACCCTGGGCTTATTTCAAGAGAAGCTGCAGTATGTGTTTTCATGAAGGAATCCCAACTGCCCACAAAAAAACATAAGAGGCATGCAAGAATTCCAGCCCTTTCCTTCAGGCAGATTGTCTACCTGGGCCTCTCAGCTACCTCTCATCATAGCAAGATGGAGGAGGGAATGCGGCACTCAACGCACTGGGTGCATTTCTGTTGAGAAGCAAGGAGTAGAAGAGCACGCAGTAACAGAAGAGTAATAGAAGGACCAGAAGACAGGAGTCTAGGTTGAGACCCCAATTCTGCCCCTGGTTTACTGGGTGGTTTCCAGACTGAGTATGATAGGAAGATAGCTAGAACCTGGGGCAAGTCCCTGAACCTCTCAGACTCAGTCTTCTCATCCATCAAATGAGAATGACACTTATACCACATACTCCTAAGTCACAGTCGGCAGAGTATAAGGTACTTTGGGGGAATCACATCCTTTACCATCTCCTACATCATCATTCCCACCAGACCCCAGCCAAGTCCTAGCAAGTCACGGATTTCAATACTCTCAGTGCTGGAGGCTAGAGAATACAGCTGTCACACGTTAGGCAAAAGATGAAACTGAGATCAGAAAACGAAAATGGATGATGATATCACATTTCTCAGGCTGTAATAGCTAAAATCCATATTCTAGCCGGAGCAGGCCACTTTTATTTGAGGTGACCTCTCTACATAAAAGGTGACCCCTCTCCCCAAATCTGTGCAGGTGCATCTGAATGTGTACCTTAGGACCCAGCCTGAAAGCTAACCTACTCGACATGTGCCTGATTTCCCAGGTAACTTCCCTCTTCTGACCAGTCAAAGCCCAAGTCTCATTATTTACCAGGGTGACTGTGCACTGGGGAAGGGAAAATGGTCAAACTTCCAGGGATTATCGAACACTGGTTCTAAGCTGACACAAATTCCTGGAGACTCAAAACGTCACCGTGGTCCAGTCAGGGTAGGGGGCCAATAGAGGTCAGGTGACCAGTGGAGTTTCAGCTCAGGTCTGTTTCACAGCGACCCCAGTGGGTCACTGAAGCCACCCTGTTTTGGGATGTAAAACTGGAACAAACACATGCAGACACTAGCAGAATCCTCACATGAAATTCAGTTTTTTGAACTGATAGAAACAAACAAAATTTTCTTAAGTTTTATAATTCCCTTGTTTGGTATAAATCTGACAGTTCTGTAAGACTAAAAAGGGCTGAAAATTTGGCTGCCCAGAGCTGTAGAAAAGAGAGTGTTATTTGAAGGTGATAAGGATTTGTGGCAAATCAACCTTTGAGAGCCCACTGGGTTCCAGGAACTATTTATCACAGCCATGAGTGGGTGGTAAGGTGCGATCCTGCACAGCCACATCCCTCCACCAGAACGTGCTAACTCCCAGTTTACAGGGGGCAAAGAAATGCACTTTGATTAGAGGCAGGCCTACCTTCAGGGGCGTTTTATTACCTTTCCCAAGTCCAGTAGCCAGAAGACCACAAAATAAACTCTGTATTTCAAAACATATCCTATGCCACAGTTCACAGGGAAACAATTAAAAAAAAAAAATCAAGCAGGGGACTTCCCTGGTGGTCCAGTGGCTAAGACTTGGTGCTCCCAATGCAGGAGCGATCCCTGGGTTCAATCCCTGGTCAGGGAACTAGGTCCCACATGCTGTAACTAAAAGATCCCACACTCGGCAATCAAGATCCCGAGTGCTGCAACTAAGTCCCGGCGCTGCCAAATAAATAAATTTTAAAAAATAAAGTTAAAAAAAAAAATCAAGCAGGTGCCTCACATCTCATTACTCATGGGCATAAGCAGTGGCTGAAGTCTCCCAACAAAATGGGCTGTATTCAGAAACTTGAGGTCAGGAGGCTCAGCTCAGGTAAGTCAGTATGAGCTGTGGAAAGGCAGGCACTTCCTGGAAAGGGATACAAAATACCCAGAATTTTATAAGCCTATTTCCAAGCATCCTCCTGAAATTCGACTTTTTTTTTATATTGAAATATAGTTGATTTACAATGTTGTGCCGATCTCTGCTGTACAGCAAAGTGACTCAGTTATACATGTACATATTCTTTTCCATTATGGTTTGCCACAGGATAGTGAACATAGCTCCCTGTGCTGTACAGCAGAACCTTGTTGTTTATCCCTCCCCTATATAATG